AACAAAACAAGAAGCCTGCGGACAGATTTTGGAACCTCCCCGAAAGCATCTCCTTTAAATGTGGTGGTATTGGCCCACACGAAATCCACCGTAATGGAAAGTAGTCTTCCGGCGGGCTTCTCGGCGAAAAATATTTCTTTAAATGTGGGGGTATTAATTAAACAGATGCTCGGATTAGAGAAATGTTTTGCGTTGGGAAGGTGATGGTGCCTATCTTGCTGCAGTAGGATTTCTTAAGGGTTTGGGATTTAGGGTCTACAGGGTGGGGCCCCCTTACTATACTAACTGTAGTTAAGGGACTTATAACCTAACTTAGGGTCCTTATAACCCAATTTAGGGCCCTTATAACTCTACTTATAACTAGGGGGCCCCACCCTGTAGGGCTTACTGCCTACGACGACGGCCGCAAAATCATCCATGTGCTGACGATGCCTGAGATCGAGTGTGCGAGATGATGTCAACCCTCAACCGCCTGAACCCTAAACCCTAAACCCTAAACCCTAAACCCCAAAACCTAAACCCTAAACCCTAAACCCTACACCCTAAACCCTAAACCCTAAATCCTATCAAAGCTAGCGGCTCTCGACGTCGGCCCTACGATCAGAAGTTCATCCGCACCAGCGGGCAAGCGCAGCTCTTACCACTTTCTCGCCTCCGCTTGGGTTCAACTGGGGTTGATGAGGTTTAGGGTTTAGGTTTTAGGGATTAGAGTCTAGGGTTACCAGAATTGGCGGGCCTGTTTAACAGCAGGGATTTTTTTTTTTTTTTTTTGGGGGGGGGGGGGGGGGGGGGGGGGATTGGATGAAATTACGGAGGTTTTTAAGATCATGTGGGCAGAGGGGGGGCGGTAGGTGAGAGAAGCAATAGCTGCGTCGGCGCTGGACTTAGTTTCGAAGCCCAAGGATCGGTGTGCTTGGAAGATGCAATACGAAGTAGATAAAACATTCAAAACCTTACGGAATATGTGTGTGTGTGTGCTCATATGTGTATATGTATGTATATGTATATATATATATACACATATATTGTCATACACCAATAGTTACAAGAAGAGCAATAGTTACATGCAATATATATATATATATTGAGGTCTACATATATATATATAGATATATAAATGTATGTAGTACATACTTGGGCCCCTATAGAGCTACGATGTATGAGCCGCTTTGAGGTCTAAGCATATACACCCTGTCTGGGCACACTCGGGCTGCGGGCGAGGTGTCTCAGCGTGAAGGACTCCGCCCAGTTCTTGCCTCCTGTTGCTTGGGAAAATGGCACAGAGATCAGGGCTTGGGGATGTTTTGGGGGGTGTAGGCTTTAAGTTTCCAGGGCTTGGGGTTCAGGGTGTACATGGGGCTTTGGGTTTTGGGTTTAGGGTTGAGGGTGTTCCGAGTTCAGGGACTAGGGTGTTTAGGGTCTCAGGCATTTAGGTTGAGTGCTGTGGGTTTTAGGGTTCATCTCTCCTCGACCAGGGAGCTGCAGGCTTTAAGTGATTTGCGGGAATGTGCTCGAGTGCTGCCATGTAGGCCATGACCTGCAGGCACCCGCAACACAGTGCGAGCGGCTTAGGGTTTAGGGTTTGGGATTTAGGGTTAGGGTTTAGGGTTTAGGGTTTAGGGTTTAGGGTTTAGGGTTTAGGGTTTAGGGTTTAGGGTTTAGGGTTTAGGGTTTAGGGTTTAGGGTTTAGGGTTTAGGGTTAGGGTTTAGGGTTTAGGGTCTAGGGTTTAGGGTTTAGGGTTTAGGGTTTAATCTAATGAAACAGGCCCCGCTAGTATTTAGGCTTCACGTGGGCTTAGGGCATTTTCTTTCTTGGCTGGGTTGGGGTAGTAACAGGCCTTCTAGGGTCTTCTGCTTCTATCCGAGGTAAGATAAGGGGGGGCAAGGGTCCCCACATAAGTGGTTTAGGGTTTAGGGCTTAGGGTTTAGGATTTAGGGTTTCGGGTTTAGGTAGGATAAGGGGGACCCTTAAAAGGGAACCCTTCTGAACCTTCTTCTGGCTCTCTTAGACAGGGGCCTTGTTGAGAGGGTCTATATCCCCAAGGGTCCCCCTAATACTATCCCCCAGATTCAGGGGTATAGGGTTTAGGGTTTCGGGTCTCGGGTTGTATGGGCCTGATGACATGTCAGGGTTATGCCCTGCAGCTTTGTTTAGGGGTTTAGGGTGCAGGGTGCAAAAAAAGCCTTCCGCCATCAGAGTTGTCGATCCTGCGGTAAGGCCTTGCTTGTTGTGTTCACCGAGTCGGAATAACTACTAATGGTGTTCCCTTCTGGTCACAGTCCCTTTAGAACTTTGCTATAACAGCCCCCCCCCCCCCCCCCCCCAAATCCTATTGAAATTACTAAGGCCCCTACAGCAATTTCCTCAGCTGCTATATGCTATATTAAAAAACACAGTTTTGTTTTTGAGGGGGGGGGGTGCTGCATACATACTCGGAAGTTTACATCCGCATCCCAGAAACTTGCAGGGTTGGGGGCTGCAAGCAAACCCTAAACCCTACCCTATGCCCTAAACCCCAAACCCCCTCAACCCCAAGCCCTAAACCCTAAACCCTACCTTGTGACATACTGGTAATACTGGTACTCAAGTCCCATGGACCATGACCTAGGAGCCCTAAACCCTACAGGGTGGGGCCCCCTTACTATACTAACTGTAGTTAAGGGACTTATAACCTAACTTAGGGTCCTTATAACCCAATTTAGGGCCCTTATAACTCTACTTATAACTAGGGGGCCCCACCCTGTAAACCCTAAACCCTAAACCCTAAACCTTTGTTTTTAGTGTTTAGGGCTTGGGGAGGGTAGGTTCCTGTTTCAACAACCACCTCTGCAACAGGCCCCGCGGCTTCTTCTGCTGCAAGGTGCTCTTAAGCTCGTCAGGGGAAAGAGCTTAGGGAGTTGGTCCACAGGGTTTAGGGTTTAGAATTTAGGGTTTAGGGTTTTTGGGGTTTGAGTTCAGGTCCTACGGCTTAGTCTTCGGGGTCGGAAGGGCTTAGGGTTTTTAACCCTAAAGACCTAGAGCCCTAAACCTCTGAAGCATTGAGGAGGCCCCCCTGACGGCATTTGGAGAGAGTATGATCCCTTTGGGGTTTAATCGCTGTTAAGGTTTAATCTCTTTGGGATTTAATCCCTTTGGAGTTGAATTATCCCTTTGGGGTTCAGTCCCTCTGGGTCTTCGGTCTCTTTGGTTGTGGGTTTTTCGCCCCCGGTGCCCTCGGGGTTGGGGGTTTCGGGGTTGAGGTTGGAGTCTAGGGTTAGAGATATGCATATCCACCCTAAACCCTAAACCCTAAACCCTCTGTGGAACCATAGCTGCCCCCCCCCCCCCCCCCCCCCAATTTTGGAGTCGAGTTGGTCTTAGAGGGGTGGTGCTTAGAAGCTTGTTCAAGGAGTTCAGGGCCTGTAAGATGTAGATTGTCTTTGAGGTTTAGGGTTTAGGGTTTAGGGTTTAGGGTTTAGGGTTTAGGGTTTAGGGTTTAGGGTTTAGGGTTTAGGGTTTAGGGTTTAGGGTTTAGGACTCTGGTTGGAAGTTCCTTCTGTCGCTGACGGGGTTTCAAGGGTGTCTTGCTGCAGGAACCCGCGCGAAGATGCGCCATTGGAGGCGGGCCCTAGAAACCCTCAACCCTAAACCCTAAACCCTGAACCCTAAACCCTAAACCCTAAACCCTAAACCTCTAACCCTAAACCCTAAAGCCCAAAACACCTAAGACTCTAAGGAAGCTACGGTATGCTAGACTCAGCTACGGCCACCCCCGAAGCTCCCAAAGCCCCAACTGCCTCAGCGTTCATTCAGGGGTTTAGGGTTTAAGGTTCAGGGTTTAGGGTTTAGGGTTTAAGGTTTAGGGTTTAGGGTTTCGGATTTAGGGCTTAGGAGTTAGGAGCTTAAGGGTTTGGCGTTTAGGGTTTAGGGTTTAGGAGTTAGGATTTTAAGGTTGGGGTTTAGGGTTTAGGAAGTCTAGGAAGAGGGCTCCCTTATCGGGAACTAAACCCTAAACCCTAAACCCTAAACCCTAAACCCTAAACCCTAAACCCTAAACCCTAAACCCCTCAACCCCTCAACCCCTCAAACACCTCCTCAAGCCGAAGTCCGGCTTCTGACCTGGCTGTAGTTCGGGATCGGTACCCTGAAACCCTCAACCCTAGCCCAAAACCCCAAACCCCAAACCCTAAACCCTAAACCCCTAAACCCCTAACCCCTAAACCCCTAAACCCCTAAACCCGTAAACCCCTAAACCCATCTGAGCCTAGGGTGGACTTTAAGCCCATGAATCTCCAAGCATGAGGGCCGCAGGTTTCGCAAGAGCCCGCGTTGCCGAAGTCTCGAACGTCCCTAAACCCTAAACCCCAAAACCCTAAACCCTAAACTCTATCCCTACCTTCCCATTCTCTCTGAACCTGTTCGGTTTTTCTTGGTTTTCAGCCAGGAATACATAGACCTAGAGCCCAATGGGCAAAGAGGCTGCTGAAATCTTTTTCGCCTGTCCACTGCAGTTTATCTCATCATGCAGCTGTCCCCAGCTGCCAGAAACCCGAGGTTCACAAGCGAGGCAGCAGCACGACACAGACTTTACATAATATTCAGGCTGAGATGATGCTTGAGTAGTCTTGGTTCAGCATATTTTTCTCTACCATTCAGCTGTTGCGAGCTCGCTTGCGGGCTGGTTCAGCCGTACCCCTCAACCCTTCCTGCTCGGCTGGCGTGAGCATGTTGAACCATTCAAAGCTCCAAGCAGTAGCACAGGCCATGGCCTGATCCTTTGTACGTTGGGTGGATTTTGCACCCGCATGGTTCTCATCCCTGAAACAGAAAGCTCTGGACATCCTCTTTGTACTTGGGTGGCGAAAACCTGTGGGAAGCTTCACTTGGCAGAATGGAGAGGAATCTGTTGGGTAGCCGAAGTACCGAGCGCAACCCGGAGCTACTTCACCATCAGGAGGAGGAGGTCGTTGCACGGGCGATGCGTGGGGTCCATCCACACGTTCCTTTCAAAAGGGATGCTTTAGAGCTTTATTAAGGACTTTTGATGTATTCGCAGCTTCACTACTGTGGCAAGGGTTGGGGGTTTTAGATGCCAAATTGAATTTTTTTTGACATGAGCAAACCACCTAAGCAAAGAAGAGCTTAAAATGCTGCCAAATATGAGCTCCTTCCGCTGCATGTCGATGTCCTGTGCGATAGCATCCTCGGAAGCCCGGTCGTGGCATGGAGCAGCTTCAGCAGCTGCGGCGACTTCATCTCTGTGCTGCTCGGCAGCATTGTTGCTTGCCTCTGTCGGTGCTTCTTCCATGTTCGCCTCTGATGCTGGGTCATCTCCCATCTCTTCCATGAGGCTTATTTCTTCTTCGTCGTCTGTTTCTCCTTCAAGTTTTTCGTCGGGCTCCCTGTTGTCATCCTTACTTCGGTGAGTGGGTTTAGGGTTTAGGGTCTGGGGCCTGAACGGTAGACCCTTTTTTCCAAAAACCCTAAAACCCTAAACCCTAATATGGAGTGAAAAACTTTAAGGTGGGGTTTAGGGTAGAATACGAGGGCCCTCAACACCATCCACATATTAGAGCATGTAGGATTCTGCTGCTTTGTCAGCCTCCTTGTCAGGAAGCTCTTCCAAAATCTCGCTGATGTACTTCTCTGACTTCTTCTCATGTTCAAGGAAAAGCTTGACCCGAGACTTGTAGTCGAGCTTGCCGTGCTTCAATCCCAGCGAACTGCAGATGCTAGACAGCAGGGAGCGGGGCACTGAAAGAATGGAGTACTCGGCAACGTAGCTGGCCAGACTCATCCAACCAGACACCTGCTTCCATGCCAGCTGGTCGTGTGCCAAGCACTCCTCTGTGAGGGCCACGTGAACTTCGTGAAGGTCTCCAACGATTGTGTCTGTCCGGGGAACTTCCAAGGCCTCAAAGGTAAAGACATTCTCTGCAAACCTTTTCAATGGCCAAAGGCGTGCAGCATAAGGACGGGAGGAGAGCACGAGCGAGCGGGTGTCATCTGTGGGCTGGTGTGCACGGCAGGAAATGAAGCAATGCTCCGGAACCAGCTTGCTTGTCCACATGGATGAAAACACACTGAGAAGGACCTCCTTCCTGTCATCCTGCCTGTCCAATTCTGGCCGGATGTGCACATGATAGCAAGTGCTGAGGACCTTCATGAGGGAAAGCCTCTGCACCAGTATGTGTGGCTTTGTGTAGTTCTTATTGGTGCGATGCTTTGTGAGGCCCTCTGAGCAGATTCCCAGCTCCGTGTCTGTAGCCTTCAAGGCACTGTGCACCCGAGCTTTGATGTGTTTCTGCGACAGTGGCTGTTGCCAATCCTGGGCAGTGAGGTTCAGGACTTCGGCACCAGCTGGGCGTTTCAGGGTGGACTTGTGTGCCACAGCGTGCAGGTTGTGCGGGTTTGTCTTCTCACTTTTGGCATGCCTTCGACCAGCATCTCTCAGATCGTTGAAGCACAATTCGGAAGGCAACGAGCAAAGTAGACTGGAAGTCCCAGGGCCAGTGAGGCCAGCCATGCATCTGCAACATTGTCGGAAGGCCTGCCCAGCGGCGGTGTCCATGGCCTCGGACTTGAAGCTGAAGGACCTGACGTTGTGAGTTTTTGTTTTGTTTTGACTGGGTTAACATGACTTACCGAATCCAGGGTTGAAATCTCTAGTCTGTGCTCATGAGGAGGCCCGTGAAACTGAGCACCACACTCCCCCTTTGTCATGATGTCTCTGTACGGTTGATAGCGGGTGAAAGAAAGAAGACCGTACAAAGCACATTTGCTCGGGAGGACATCGACAATTTCCGTCACAAAGAGCCATTCCTTCTGCATGTCTTCCAGACAGCTTGCCCGGGCTTGCGCGTTCAGGCATGCAATGGCTCTCCAAGGAAATGAGGTGTGGTAGGCGTCCAAGGAACACAGGGAGCTCAGATGGCAAAGGGTCAAACTTGCCAGCCATGTGCGTGACTCGGGGTCGTTGTCTGCAGAACAATACGGGATGGCTGCACCTTTAGCTGCGTCCTGTAGAGTCTTCCTTAGGCGTCACATCTAGAAGGCTTCAAAGACTGCTTGGACTGGACTATTAACCGAGCTTCGTGATGAGTCGTTGCACCCGCTTGCCAGTGTGCCAGTGGCCAAGGACAAGGCATGCTTCAAGGAGGCGCTTGAGTTGTTCTGGAAGTCTCGTGCCTTAGATGCAACATTTAGAACTGTAACTAAGAACCTTTGACCCCAGGCCCACTACTGCAGCCCAGGGGCACAGTCACACACGAACATTCTCAAGGTTGGAAAACCACAATGAAGGCCCTCATCTTGTCTTGGTTTGTGTCATCAGCCAGCACCTAGATGAACACAGGTGAGCAGCGTTTCTGTGCGAGGTCCCCTTAAATCCGCTATTTCGGGTTTGGGATTTAGGGTTCAGGGTGTCAGTGTTTAGGGTACAAGAGCAAGAAGAGCAGCTAAAGCACGTGCCATGCAGCGACCCGGGCAGAGAAGCTATCGTCACTGCCATCACTGCGGGCGGTCATCCCCCACGGGTTTCGCCCTTCACTGAAGAAGGAGAAGCAGTGAGCCATTGCTTCTGCGTGCCATACCCCGTCCAGGGCAACACTGTAGTCCCAGAAGCTGAACCAGCGACTGTCCTTGGAGGTCTCGGCCCGAAGATGTAGCCTGGCTGTTAGGGTCTTGGTTTTAGGCTGGGGTTTAGGGCTAAGGGCTGAGAATTCAGGGTTGCTGTAAGATACATTTTGTGTGCACACCGACTCACAAACTATTTTCAAACCACACGTGGCCTTGCCGGTCACGTAGCATGCTCAAAGCATCGGCTGCTGTGAAGCTGCTCTCGGCAATCCCACTCCCATTGTGCAAGCCTGCCGCATCCTTAGCCATGCCTGGTATAAACATCTGTGCAAAGTCGGCGTTGGGGTCCTTTGACAGAAGCTCGATGATGCGGTCGCGGGCATCTGAAACCAAACGGCCAAACTTTGATGTTTTGAATGGTCCCCTCGAGAAGCGAAAGAGAACCCCCAGCTTCTTAAGCAGATCTGCGGCCCCTGTGAGGCCACGAATGGCCTGGGCACATCTCCGTGCGGAGCGGTGGAAGATGTCGGGCCATAGCACAGCCCAGCAATCTGAGGCACTGAGGTGTTGCCATGCCACGAATCCCTGAGGTCATTTTGAGAAGCAGTTTCAGGGTTGAGGGTTTAGGGTTTAGGGTTTAGGGTTAAGGAGATTTCGTGTTCGGGGCTTCATAAACCTCAGCCAGGCAAGCCTGTGTCCCTTCGTCGGCACTGAAAACCAGTCTTGTGAAGTTTTCGTGCTCATAGAAGTCCTTGCGGGATTCCAAGGCCTCTGAGTCCCAGGTAAAGAAGAAGTGTGCGTCTGACGGAAGCTGCTGCGGTAGGAGTCGCAACTCACTATTGTCGTAGACATGTCTTTCACAGCCTTGTCCAGCAGGTTTCAAGGGATTCGGCGGCTTGCAGCTCTGAAGGGTGAACCCGGAAGGCATGGCTTGCTGCAGAGAGTTTGCAATTCCAGCTAGCAGGTCTTTTGTGGGCTTGCGAAACTCTCGGAAAGCAAAGGCGTTCTTGGGAAGCTGCGTGCGCTGCGTGGCGTCCTGCGGCAGTCGACCCTGCAAGGCTGCAGCCAGGCTTCGTGAAGCCTCTGCAGCTTCGTCTTTGTTACACACGTTCACAGGTAGCATCTGCGTGGCTCCGGGAAAAAGACAACCGTCCAGCATAAACACCACGGACAAGACCTGTTTCGGAGGGAAAGGAAGGCAGTACAGCAAGCATCCCCCCACGTTTAAGTTTCCCCACTGCCCTCCCAGGGAGCCTTCTCAGTGGCCACTGTGGCCTCGTCAAAGCAAAAGTTCAGGCACTTCATCTCTTGACGGCTAAGAGCAGCTGCAACGTGGCTCTCTGTCTTCAGGAGAAGTCGGGCCACAAACTCAGCGGCTGTCTTGGTAGCCAGATTCGAGTTCTCAGCCACGAGTTCTAGCTCCGAAAGGCACCTTTCGTCCTTCAAAGACACGTAGCCTGTACCCCGGCAGAGGAAGCGGCTTACCATGTTCATGCGAAGCGACCTGTTGCCCTTCCTGCGTGACACAGCCATGTACGGATGATACTTGTGAGCAATGTTGGGGTCCGGGCATTGTTCTGTGGTTGCCCTTTCCAGACTCTCTTCTGCACGTTGCGCAAAAACGTGCAGGACACGTTTTGTCAGGCGACGGAAACCAAGGGAGTTCCAGAAATCCTTATCGGATCTCATCCTCAGGCACGTGACAAGGAAGGTGCTGAGCGGCATTGTGGCATTTGTGTCTTTGCCAGGGATTTTTTTTGCAAACCTGGCGGGCAGAAATAAAGACAAACTTCGTCAGGGAAAGATGCAGAAGTTTACAGCCCCAACAAAAAAAATCTCACCGAAATAGACAGGAAATTCCTCAGCGAAATAGCAGAAAGAATCCTCAGCCGAACCCTAAACCCGAAATTTAAAGGGGAAGCCCTAAATTGAACCTTAATCCCAAAACGGAAACAAACGGGAGACCTCAACCGCCCCAGGTAAGGCCTTGCCCAACTGAGACCAAGCTCGTGCAGTGCTGCTTTCAGTGCTGGCACAGGCATCAGGTTCTCTTGCACCTGAACACAGAAGACTCGGGCGTGGGGCAGCAGGGGAATGGAGTCATTGATGCTCATGTGTTCTTCGAATGTTTGCAGGACCCCCAAACACTCCATCAGAGCATCAGGTCCCAGGCTTGCTGTGGGAAGCAATGTGGCCAGAGTGACAAGTATCCCCAGGACTGTGCAGCAGTCCACTGGCAGGGAAGTCAATCCGGCGATGTGGCCTTTGTAGGTTGGTCTGCGTGCCACCTTGGGAACAAAAGAAAGAAAGATCTCAGAGACGGCCTCAGAAAAAAGAGAGAGATAGAGAGAGAGAGAGACTGAAAGTGAGGATGAGAGTGAGAGAGAAAATGAGAGTGAGACTGAGAGCGAGAGAGAATCCAAAACGGGATCAGCAATTGGTGGAGTCAAAGAAAGATGTCGATCTAAGATACCCACATGCCGAGTTCCCACTTCCAGCAAGTGTGCCAGAGGCAAGTAGTTGCCGGCATGGTTCTTTGTGAAGTACTGCGTATATGGAGTGCGAAGAGAATACCATTCTGCTGTGGAAATAAAGTGCCGATACCCATCAACGGCGTCATTGTTCTCAACCTGTCCCACGTGCAAAAACAGAAATGCTACGTACGTGAAGAGGAGAAATCAGCGTTGTGCCAGAACCCGGCCTGCAAGACAGTCCAGACACCACGTCTGTTCGAAAGAAATCTGAAGACATGACCTGGACAATCCCGATCTACACCTGGGCTTCGCTTTTCAGGGGAGGTTTCGGCGTCGTCATCATCCTCCAAGGCAGGCGAGGGCTGCTCCGGAAGGCTTTCCAGACTGGGCTTCGGGGCGAAGGGCGTGTCAGGACCGTACATCTGCACAAGCTGCTCATGCTGTTTCTCAAACTTTTTGAGATTACTATGCCATGCGGCATCCCGATGACTAGGGGCCACGTCAGCGTATGTCTTCCATGCCTCAGCCACCTTCTTTCTGACAGACAACAATGCTATGCAGCGAGAGCCGTTCTCATCTTCCAGCGGGACCTTTTCCAGCAGAGCCCGAATCTCGCCGAGCCAATCCTGGAGTTTAAGGTGTTAGTGTTTAGGGTGAGGGGTTCAGGCCTTGAGGTTCAAGGCCTAGGGTTTAGGGTTTAGGATTTAGGGTTTAGGGTTTAGGGTTTGGGGTTTAGGGTTTAGGGCTACCCCCAAACCCACCTCCAGGATCATTCTGGCCACACCGTTTCCCCCGGCACGGCCCCGGAGCGCTCAAGAGGCGCACTATGGCAAAAAGAAGGCCAGTAGGTTGAGTTGGAATCTTCAGTTTTACAGTGCGTACGTCCCACCTTTCCCATTCTGGCCCGTATCCTTCTGGCCTTATTTTTGGCTCTGCGAGCAACAGAACTGCTCCTGTAGCCCCAGTAGGATTCCCGTTAGCGAGAACGTTGCCTGCTAGCGAGAACGTTGCCTGCTAGCGAGAACGTTGCCTGCTACCGAGAACGTTGCGTGCTAGCGAGAACGTTTCTGCCCGGGAGAACGGTTCTGGCCTGGAGCCAGCAGCAGGAGGACAGCACAAGAGCAACTTTCAAGCAAGAATGCTTCAAACAAAGAGCACGTGCACCTTTCAGAGCACAAAGCTGAGATCAACAAATTTCTACCTGGCATTCTCTGTCCCTTAGTCCATGGTGTGAAGATTGTGTACAAAAGGCCGATGCAGGCGAACAGCCCAACGACTCAAAGCCTCATAGTCGTAGAGCAGTAGGTCATCTCCACGACGATCTTCGACGAAGATATGCACTCCTTCATCCAAGTAGTTCTTGTCCCCGACTTGTGCTGTGGCCAGAAAGAGAAACATGGCCCCAGGCCAGGCTTCCAGATAAGACCAAGTCCTCTGACACTGCACTTCAAGCTGCCACCACCAAGTTGCATGCCGACTGGAAAGAATCGGCACGGCAGAGGCCGAAACTATGGGCCCCACCTCCGAACAGGAACGAGTAATTTTGTTGGAGCAGGACTTCATGGGAAACACGGTGAGGCTGCAAGGACAAGAAGGCTACGTAAATGCTGCAGCGAAAACCAGGAGATCAAAAAACATGTCCGTATTCCTGTTCAATCAAGGGCAGGTAAAATCAATGGAGACAGCATCTTTCCTTCAGGAGCATGTGCACACGTGGTGTCTTGCGATGGCGTCTGCGTCAGGTGCCCCACCTACAGCAGCGTGACAAAACCAAGGCAAATGGGCTGCGAGGCCCAAGGACTCCAGAGGAGATTCACTCGGAGTCGGACGGAAACTGAACATCCTTAGCGTCAGTGCCCTCAGCGGCTCCATGAGCTGCCTTCTCCTGGACTGGCGGGGTTCCTGCGGGTGGAGAAGTGGTCTCTTGAGGCGACTTCTGAGGGGTCTTCTGAGGGGTTCCATCATCACTCGGGAAGAGGCTGCGAGAAAGAAGACGACCAGCACGATCACGATGCGTGTCCTGCAAAGCTGTAGAGGGTTGCGGTTTTGAGCGCCTAAGGTCCGTTTAAGCTTGCGTGACACACACTGGAACATACCCATGCAGTCCAGGTCTTTGGCCATGTCTTTAAGCATGCGGTGCATGCTTTTGCGACCCACCCAACTCATGGCCGACAAAACAGAGCGGGCTCCATCACCCATGGCATCCACAGTCCAGCCGTCACGGAGTGCATCAAGGAAAGCACGAATGCTGTCCTGAGGAGACGGATGGGGGTGATGGGGCAAAGGCGTCTCTGACAGCCCAACCCAACAAGCGTGAGCCAATTCCTGAGTTCAGAACAATGCCATCTTTCTCCAGCAGGTCCCAAAACAGGATGCGGTCGCCCTCCTGGGCAAAGTACATGGCCATCTCATCCTTGAGGAAGGTTTGGATGGCCTTGGCATCATCCTTTTCCTTGTCCCCACCCTCAGGACCCAGCAAGTCAGGCTTGCTTCTCTTGCCCCCCTTTCGAGCGAAGCGGGCGGAGAGGAGATCATCATCATTGGAAATCTGCCACTCCTTGTTGTTGGACGTTTGGTCTCTCCATGAGCCACGTGTTGTGGGAGCCTGCAGCAGAGCAGAAACAAAAACAGGTATGCACTAAACATCAAGAGCACATGCCCAGCCCTGCGTGTGCCTGAGTGCCTAAGTCCGACTTACTCGACGTACGTCGCACAGGCTTGCGTGTTGAAGGCGTCTTGTGCTCAGCATCGTCACTGCCATCTTCGTCAGATGATGGCAGCGATGCCTGACTACTGCGGCGTCGTACTGAGCCTGACAGAGCCTTACTTTTCTCGTCCTGCATATCTCCAGCAGCCTCGTGCTGCAACTTCTGCAGCATGTCCTTTGCCTCTTTCTGCCAGGACAGTGACGTGTCCGACTGGTTGCGTGTCTCCACTTCGCTCTCCAGGGTCCTTCTTTACATTTACATGTACACATGAACGGAACTACACGAGAGTGAACATGCCAGCTTAGTCCGATAGGTCCTGCGTATACTGGCAACCGTTTTGTGCTGAGAGATGACCGTCAGCGAATGCAGCTCCGTGCCTCGATGCGTTTTTTTTAGGGGCTGCTCGGCCTCCACAAGGAACTCGGGAGTCGCAAAACCCTAAAACCCTAAAACCCTAAAGCCCTAAACCCTAAACCCCCAAACCCTAAACCCCTAAAGCCCTAAACCCTAAACCCTACCGACTCAGCACCTCAGGTCTACCTCGGTAGTGGTGCCGACAGGTTTAGACCTTCAGGCTGGAGGGTTTAGCTGCTTGGGCTTTAGGGTTTGGGGTTTAGGGTTGAGGGTTGAGAGCTTTGTGTTAGGATTTAGTATTCGGAGTGTGTTTTTGGCGGGGGAGGCTTCTTGGGGCTTAGGGTGCTTCTGAGCTGTTCTTGTCTTGGCCCCCTTGAACCCTTCATCATTGACAAACCTTTCATGGTGGGCAAAATGGAAAATCGTTCAGCAGCCAAGCACTAGAACCCTTAACTTAACAGGTCTAAAGACTTTAGGGTTTAGGGTTTAGTCTAAGTGCAAGGAGCGGGAATAACAGAGGGAAAGACCCTAAACCCTAAACCCTAAACCCTAAACCCTAAACCCTAAACCCTAAACCCTAACTAAACCCTAAACCCTAAGCCCTAAACCCTAAACCCTAAACCCTAAACCCTAAACCCTAAACCCTAAACCCCTAAACCCTTAAACCCTTAAACCCTTAAACCCTTAAACCCTTAAACCCTTAAACCCTTAAACCCTTAAACCCTTAAACCCTTAAACCCTTAAACCCTTAAACCCTAAACCCTAAACCCTAAACGCTAAACCCTAAACCCCCCCCAAAGGCACAAAGTAGATGGCTTGCTACAAGGCACACTTCTCGATGAGCTTGAGCAGGCGTTCTCGCCATTGAGTCTCGGCTTGACTCTCGGCCTGCGTCAGTTGCACCTTGAGCTTGAGCGAGTCCGGGCAGTTGGCGTCGAGATTGCTCTGTTGCTTGGCACGTTTGCGAAGCTGCCAGGGAAACAGAGATGAAATGATGAGGTTGAGAAACTGAAAACACGAAGAGCAAGCAGCAAACTGTAGAACATCTCCCCTAACAGCCTCCAGCAGCTCCCCACCAACTCTCATGAGTGCATTCTCTGTGAACCCGGGCACAAGTCGAGCCAAGCATGTGGCAAGCAACCACGGTGAGAGATCTGACAATCTCGTGGCCCGAGCACTCGAAAGCCGAAGATGCTTCACAGTCCTGTAGTTGGAGAGGAAGCTAAAAATAGTCCAAACAAACAGAAAGGGAACTGAGTGCAACAATAAATTGAGGCAGGGTGCAGACCGAAAGCAACAGCAATGGCTGTGACAGCTTGCATGTCTGGGGACTCATCTTTCGACGGGGAAGATGAGCCGGAACTCCGGCGTCGACGACGATCCTTCTGAGACTTCTTCGCCTTGTGACTTGACCTCTTGGCAGCCATGGCCAGCAACAGAAAACTTCAATTTGCCTCCCAGGCCAATCACAGATGACAGCACGTTGTGAGGCTGCGATCCATCAGGACACGTCATATTGTAAAGGTTTGCTTTCCGAGATGGGGTGCCAAACATGACACTCAAGCAAGCCAAAGTGCCACAAGATGCAGGCACTGCATGCTGACAAGCCGATTTTCGCAAGTAGCTGAGGGTAGCCTCTTCGGGCCCGGGGGTCTCAGCTCTAGGTTGCAAGATGCCAGCTGACCACTCTGGGAACAGCTTTGCAAGAACAGCCAAGGCGGGAACCAAATTGAACATCCACAAAATCGCTTGGCCTCAGCTTGTGCCTTCTGGCTGCAAGCCACAGCAACAGCACTCCTGTAAAGCCAACAATCAAGTAGTTCCAGCAGAGATGCCACAATGAAGAGGCAGGCAAGGAGAGATCACTCCTAGGGCAGGAATACTTATGGGCTTCGGCTATTTTGGGATAGAAGTCCGTTTGAGTCCTGCGAGTAGCATCATGGTTCACAGCAGCCTGGGCCAGGTGAAGAACGAATTGTTTGGGACTCTACGAAAATTAGACGTGAGGAGCAGTTTTTTTTGCGATTGACCTTAAGAAGCCCAGAACCGAGGCCTCAGAGCCACCGACAGCATTGCGAGCGGGAGGCTCGTCTCCTGGAACAGCGAATTGTCCAGAGCAAAATCTTTTTAAAGAAAGAAAGATGAGTGCCTAGACCTAGACCTTTCACAGCCTGTGCCAAGCCCCACAAATTTGAGGGCCCAAGTCAAACGATAATGTTGCATTGCGTCATCTACAGGTTCTGTCCTCCATCGTCAGACGTGTTGGGGTCCACTGGCTGCCAGCCTGGGAAGGAATGGAAGCCCCTACAAGAGGGGCATGACTAGTATCAACACTCAAAGACAATGAGAGGTACATCTAA